CCGTCTGTGGCAGGTCCATATGGGGTGCACCGCTACAGGCTCCTTCAGCCTTCTCTTCCAGTGGAATGAGCTTCCAGAACACACTCAGTCTCTCCCACCTCTCCCACTGGAGCCCATCTCACCCGTCAGCTTCCCTCCAGAACACATTCACTCTGTTCCTGTCCTTGTGCAGCTCGTGCTGTGCTTGTACCAGCCTGATCTGCTTACTGTTTGAACCTCTTACCATAGAGCTAGTTGGGGTTTGACACTGGCAGATGTGGATATCTAGAGAGACACTGAAACATAAAAATGATCACTCATAAAAAAAGTAATATTAGTCAATATCTACTATACATACACAGTGGGGTTCAAATTCAAATTCTGTAATTACAAATGATGAGATCACCATAACAGTATGAATGAAAACAAAAAAGTTATATTACCAAAGCTGCATTTATTTTATTTAAAAATTGATTTTAAAAATTGATTTAAAAAACTAATATTATTGCAGTTAAAAATAATGATTTTCTATTTTAATGTATTTACAAATGTAATTTATGCCCTGTTGGCAAAGCAGAATTGTCAGCAGCCATTACTCCAGGCTTCAGTGTTGCATGATCCTTCAGAAATCATTCTAGTGTGCTGATTTGTTGTGCTGCTTGATATTTTTGTGGAAACCATAATATTTTTTTCAGGTTTATTTGATGAATAGAAAGTTTAGAAGACTGCATTTATTTAATAAATGTATGCCTTCACTGTCATTTTTAATGCATCCTTGCTGGAAAAAAAAACAAAAAAAAACAAATCAATCCTACCCACCCCAGACTTTTGAACTGAAGTGTATATTTATAATTTATCAAATTAATATATTATTTTACTTCAGAAAAAAATAAAGAAAAAAATAAAAATTCTAAAACTCCGGGTTTTATAGATTTTAAATTGGTCTCAGACATTTAGGCTCCACTGTAGGTTGCTGTGGTATTTTTATGCTGGAAGTTCTTCATGCATGCTGCTACAGAACAGTAGTGTTGATAAGAAAAGAAGCAGTGACGTCTCTCCAGACCTCCTGCTCATGACCTGTGTTAGAAGCAGGTGGCTGGACATTCTTAAACACACTCCGGTCACACAGAGCCGCGCAGAACGTCAAAACTCATCAGCCCACGGTAGAGGCGTTCCAGACTGCCTGACCATCCGTCCTGCCAGCACATTCATTCACCCAGCCTGTCCTCACAAACACAGTGCTTGCTAGCTTAGCAGGTAATAGGAAAATCATTGATGAGCATCTGGACAGCCTCAGGTGTCCCAACCCGACTCAACACCTTGACTTGCCCCTTTACCCTTGGGTTCATCACCAGGCCAAATGGCCTTCCCCTCATTTTGACCAGCTATCCAGCCTCATTGCACAACAGGTTGATGCAGGGCCGGCTTCAAACACCCATATGTTGCCCACAGCTGGCCCACATCTGGCCTGGGCTACCCAGCAGAGAGTCTAAGGAGTTGTTTCCTAAACGCCCAACATGTTTTTCCGCTAGATTTACCACAGGGCTAGCTGGGAGGAAGGACAAACATATCTCCGCAGTGCCACTGTCCTCCAGTCTGGAGTATTTAGGGTGGTCTTGTCTGGTTCTGTTCTGTGCATGTCTGTAATTTCAGTCATTTTGAGCATGTGGCATTAAATGTGTTTGAAGGACATCAAGATATAACAAGTGCTTAGGGATGTACTGAATTTTAGGTCACTGTAAATGATGGTCATAATCATAAAGGCCATAAATTGCTGTTGTTGGTTTTAAAAAAACAAGAAAATCTTGGCTGAAAATTACATTGAATTGGATGTACTGTAAATACAAATGTTTTTTTTGGAAAGTGCATACATACGCAAACATACATAATTTTCTGGGATTACTTTTAATGGTTTCATTATTGAATATTTGCATTTTGCATGAACTTTTGTATAACCCTTAATTTTACTGAGAACATTTTGTCCATTTTAAAATCTCCATTACAGAACACTTACATCTTAATAACGTAAACTCGTCGCCAGCCTGGGAGAATCAAACAAAATTCACATCAACAGTGAGCAAAGCTGGTATATAATCACTCTAAAAGGACTTTGTGGTATAAGGTGGTTCTTCACATATTAAAATGCGGAAATTGAATACTTAAAGGCTCCATTTTTAGATTTTTAATTACATTTTTCAGTTCTTTGAAATCTTAGAGAAATAAATTCCAATCTTGGGTTTATAATTCAGTAGAATGAGAGAATTGGTGAAAGTCCGGACTATCTTTATATATCTGTTTGCGTGTGAAAGCGTACGTGTGGCTTGCGTGTGTGTGACCGACCTCAGCTGGTTGAATGATGAAATCAAAAGTGAATGAAAGTTGTCAGGGAAAAATAATAGCTGCCTCTAAGATCCTGAAACCTCCCGAGAGGCAGCGAGAGTCACCTCATGCAGCATCAGAGAAAAGGCCTTGAGAGAAGATTATGTCCATTCTTCTCTCGTCTTTACTCGTCTATATGCTGCTGATTGCTTTTTGTGTGTGGCTAATTGGTGTTTGCGTGGCTTTGGCTCCTTTTGTCCCTTTGGATGTATTGTGTGACAGGAATTATCATTCTCTGTTCAGGGCCCCTCGCTTTAAGGGTTACCAGCAACAGGACAGTCAGGAATTGCTGCATTACCTCCTGGACTCCATGAGAGTGGAGGAGACAAAGGTGAGTGCACGATTAATTTTTTCATTTGATTTATTTAAAGAGTAACTTTTGGCCCTGTTTTCACCTGGGATCCGTCTCATGTAATACGATCACAAATGGTCAGTCGAGATCATCATGTAGACCTGGCAGTAATGTGCATCTTATCTTCTTTAACCACTTGTGATTTAATTTTAAGGGGAAGGTCAAAAAAATCATTGCTTTTAAGACCATATTCAGATTATAAATAATAAAATAAATAGTAATATAATTATAATTAATATAATAATAATTTAATAATAAATAATTTAAAAACTATAAAAATATATATTTAAAAACAATTCTTGCTTAATTTAGGTTTTTTAAAGTTGATCTAAATATATATATATATATATATATATATATATATATATATATATTAGTTTTTAAGATGAAACAAATAAAAAATATTTATACACTAGTACTCTACCGTTCAGTACAATTGTTTTTTTATTCTGCGTAGATGCATTAAATTAATCAAAAGTGACAGAAATAAATATTTATAATGTTATATGTTAGATATTTAGATTTCAAATCAATTCTACTCCAAGAATTCTGAAAAAAAAGTTAGTTTCATCAAAAATATTAAAAATGCACCGGTTTTCAACATTAATGATAATAATGCATGTTTCTAAAGCACCGCCATTCAGACTTGTGAATGTGGACAGTTGTGCCACTTAGGAACCTTGCAAGTGGCGCGACTGGCCTCATTGTGCATCCTGGGAAACAGTCAGCTGCTTGTTGAGGCTTTGTGATGGAGGACCGTCCCCACCTCCCTCCCTCCACACTTAGGGGAGGCTGAGGGGGAGAAAACAGGAAACAATCTGGTTTAAATGTTCCTCAATATCGCGTACTTCAGTAAATTTACAGACAGCATGTACTGTCTCTCACACGCACACACACACACATATATAAGATGCATTAAATTAATCAAAAGTGACAGAAATAAATATTTATAATGTTATATGTTAGATATTTAGATTTCAAATCAATTCTACTCCAAGAATTCTGAAAAAAAAGTTAGTTTCATCAAAAATATTAAAAATGCACCGGTTTTCAACATTAATGATAATAATGCATGTTTCTAAAGCACCGAATCAGCATATTAGAATGATTTCTGAAGTATCATGTGACACTGAAGACTAATGACTGCTGAAAATTCAGCTTTAGAAAATAGCTATTTTAAATTGTAATACTATTCATAATGTTAATGTTTTTACTGTTTTTGATTAAAGAAAAGCAGCTTTAGTGAGAATAAGAGACTAACTAAAATAACTAAATTATATTTGAATTTGTATACCGATTTAGAGATCTAAGCATGCAAAAGTTAAATATACAAGTATATACAAACAGACAAGATTTTGCACAAAAAAAACTATCTTGTCAACTTTAAAAAATAGTTGAGGTTACAATCAACATCATTATGATTTTGATTGTTTTATAAAAGTGCAAAATGCCTCATCTCTCACCTACAGTGTGCAACGGAGCTGAGACCCCTTAAACCAGTCACCAAACATGGACACCACAATATTTATGTTGATTAGCCAATAGGATCCCTGGTCACAATATGCTAATTAACATCACTGAATTATCACCAATTAGCTGTTGAATAAAACTGCTAAGAATGGGGTGCTCAAGTGAGCTCAACTTCTCAAGAGAGTGTGGTGGCCTAGTTATTTTGGGGTGTGTGTGTTTGTGTGATTAATTAGTGTGTGTTGCAGCAGGGTCCGACACAGATGGGGGTTTGGGGGGTTGAGTGGCTGAAGGAGTGGGATTAACCAGGCTTTTGACCTAAATAGCCCGTCCCGAGCGTGGGGACGGGACAATGGGGGAGACTGATCGAGCCCCACAGACATCGCCACCACGGCCAATTATCTATTGATTGGTGCTATACTGTGACTGTGTCTTCTAACAGCTCTCTCACCAACACAGTCACTGACCATGTCACCTCTCATTAAGACCACAGGGACACTCGCCTTCACAAGTCTTTATGCCCACACATACATGGGATATACAATGCATATGTGTTGCTGTGTATAATAAGTGAAGCACACACTTACTTTTCATCACGTACACGTGTTCATGGCCTTGCGTTTGCTTTGGTTTATTTACCACAACAAAAACCTGAGGAAAAAAGAACACATCCAAGGGTTGAAGAGCTTAAAGTCTGAAGGGGAAAATGGCCGTGACTTATTTAATTTGTTTCTAGATGTCAAATTCAATGTAATGAAAACGTCAACATTTGTTTTTTTTTCTTCTTTTTTTATTATTTAATTGAAACGTTAACTTTTCATTATTAAAAGATACAAGCTGTGATACTTTTCCTGTGCCTCTATTATTTTGAGCATGATAAAAGGAGCTTTTTGTGACAGCAACTGTTTGAGCTTCATTATCTAACAAAGTGGCATCACATTGTGTTTACATTGACAGCGCATTAAAGCAGGCATCCTCAAAGCCTTTAACAACCCCACAGAGAAGACAGCTGATGAGGAGACCAAACGACAAGTGAAGGGTGATCAGTCTATGTTTCCGTCACCTGCATTTCACATCATTCAGAACAATATTGCCATCTAGTGACAGCTTGTATTCACAAGATTAAAAAAAAAACAATGACCCTATTCACATGAAAACATAATTTAAAAAAGGATCTATTATTTGTGTTCTGAGTTGTTTGAATGTGTTTTTAAATAACATAAATATACTGTGTATGACATATATCAATTTTAAAATGTTCTACAGCTTATGGGAAGGAAGGAGTGAAAATGAATTTTGTCGATCGGATTTTTGTCGGAGAGCTGACCAGCACCATAATGTGTGAAGAGTGTGAACATGTAAGAGTTTCTCTTTTTTTGTAATGTGCAATGTCCACATACAAAGCCAGATTGTATAAATTGTTCACGTTTATTTACAATAAATTACAATTTTATAAATAAAAATGATGCATTTTAAATGTTACAATATTGTAAAGTGTATACATATCAGTTTCATTTATAATATATGCCTTTTAATTTACTATAATACAATGTAATATGTATACAATATATAATATGTAGTACAATTTTTTTTAATAATACAGTGACTACTAATTGTAATATGTGTAACATGTTTATATGCTTCACTCCTAGATTTCCACAGTGAAGGAAGCCTTCATTGACATTTCCCTTCCCATCATAGAGGAAAGGGTGAGACCCACAATTGTAAAACATCTGTTTTATTTGCATTTAATAATCTTTCAATTCACTAAATGTGCTAAACTGTCTTGAATTGAGTGATGTCTTTTGAGGGTTTGTTGCTTTTCTTGCTCAGATCTCTAAGCCTACAAACCCTGGTAGACTAGGGAAAAGTGGGCGGGAGCAAGACGGTCCGGCCTCCCATGATGACTCATCAGCTACCAATTCACAAGCCAATAGAAACAGCAGGAGGTTGAGTGGACTGGTAGGTGGAGCCAATATTAGAAGAGAGGCATTGATAGTTCTTATACACTAACGTTCAAAATTTGTGGTCTGAAATATTAAGATTTCTTAATGTTTTTGAAAGAAGCCCTTTATGCTCACCAAGGCTGCATTTATTTGATCAAAAATACAGTGCAAAACTAATATATTTTAAAATGTAATTTAATCCTGTGATGGAAATCTGAATTTTGAGCAGCCATTACTCCAGTTTTCAGTGTCACATGATCTTTCAGAAAACATTCTATTATGCCGATTTGGTGTTAAAGAAACATTTCTTGTTCTTGTTCGTGTTTCTTTTATAACATTTATAAAAGGCTTTCACTTCTGATCAATTTAATGCATCCTTGCTGAATAAAAGTATTAATTACTTTAAAAAAAAATTTTTTTTTAAACTTTACTGACCCCAAACTTTGGAGTTGTAGTGTATGTGTTTCCTTGCTTCGTTGGTATTTTTTTTATTTTTTTTTATTATTAAGTTTTGTACATTGGCACAAAAACAAAAATCATTCCAATACAAATTTTTACACTTTTATACAAATCCTAATTTAACCATTTTAACATCGTAATGATATGGAAAAAGAAGAGAAGAGGAGGGTGAAAAAAAGAAAGAAAGAAAGAAAAATGGGGGGGTTTGCTTTCTTATTAAAATAATTAATAAAAGGCTTCCATGCTGCATAAAAAATTTTAGTTTTATTTTTTATGGAAAATCTTATCTTTTCAAGTTGCAGGTAGGACATAACATTTTTAATCAGTGCCGAGCAGTGGGGTGGCTCTTTCTGTTTCCAGTTGAGCAAAATCAATCTACGTGCTAAGAGTGTAACGAATCCAAGCATTATATGTTGGTTTTTAGATAGCTCCATATTATCACTACTGACACCAAAAACAGCTAAAATTGGGTCTGGATCCAATTGCTTTCCCAACACTTCTGACAATAAATGAAAAACTGAAATCCAATAATTACTAATCTTAGAACAACTCCAAAACATATGTCCTAGTGTGCTTCGTTGTTTTTAACACTACTTTATGTTTGTTTGTATGATGATGCGCTTAGAAGCTGCAGGGTCGCCATTCGTCCACTTCTCATGATGAGAGAGGTGCAGATTTGGTTTCTAGCCGACAAGAGGAGGAGCTCTGTGTGGCTGGGCGTGGCCTGGCCAGTTGCCGGGCGGATACGATGGGCAGCCAATCAGACTGCAGCGAGAAGGATTCCAACCTGCAGGACAGCAGTAACGATGCGGACAGCGAGGCCTCCGAGAGCGAATGGTCACCACGAATCCCATCTGTGTCCACTCACAGTAGCACATCAGATAAAGTCTCAACCGCCACGACTTCAGCCTCAACAGCACACAATCCAAGTCTAAAACCAAACCTGAGCCCGAGCCCCGCTCCGCAGGGTGGCGCTGTAGAGCAGCTTGTCAGTGCTGTGTCCAAGCTAGGCCTGGTGCACACTTCCACTGATACTCTACCTGTCAGTCACAGCCCAGAGGAACCGTCCGAGGTCCGGGAGAGAGACCGTCAGCACCATCAAGGGGCCTTCCAAGCCCTCTGTCACAGTTACACCCCTAGCTCTAAAGAGTGCTCCGTACAGTCTTGCCTGCATCAGTTCACCTCTGTTGAGCTGCTGATGGGCAACAACAAACTGCTCTGTGAGAACTGCACAGAGAGAAGGCAAAGGCAGATGAAGAGGAGTGGTATGTATATACATATGAAATATATGTATATATAGTTGCATATACTGACCACTACGTAGTAAAGAAGTGTTGCTGAAAGATATACTACCTTTAATGAATACAGTAATATTCAAAAGATTTTTTTTTTTTTTTTTGCAAGAAAAAAGCTACCTGCATATTTATGCTTAACAAGCTACATTTATTTTATTTCAATATATATTATTTATGTATTTATTTATTTATTTTTCTTTATCAAAAATTTCTCTGGAAATTGGTCATAAATCCATTTGATCTGACAATTTATGGATTTTACACTGTGTAAAGTGAGTGTAAAGGATTTTACACACACTTTTTTTAACCGAAATTGACTTAAGGCAATTGTTTTAAGGCACAATTGTCAAATTTAGGTGGTTTGGCTGAAGTCATGTAGTAAAAACCTTACATTTGTAATGTTTTTTTAAATTAAGTTACATATAAAACAATTAACATGCTTTAAAATTTACACACTTTTTTAACCTAGCTATGTGTATGCCATTCTTCCTTATAGCCACCATGTTAAGCATTGCAATTTCTTTGTCAATTTCTGCCTATTCATTCATTAAAAAATGACTTTGTACTGACTTCATAAACAATGACTTTATGCTGTCCAGATAGGATTTTTAGGAGCTATTACAGAACACGGGTGTAAATCTTTATGTAGGAATAAATTAAATAAAAAACATAGAATGCTATTTTTATGGCTGATCAGAAATACTGGTAAAAGTGTAGATCAGACTATGTTGTTTTTATGTTTCAGATAAGAAGGCTGAGAAGGTGTACACCAGTGCCCGTAAACAGATGCTCATCTCGGCACTTCCTCCAGTGGTCACTCTTCACCTTAAACGATTTCATCAGGTATGAATCCTCAGCGTTCCTTACATTATAACCTGCTTTCGCCATTTGTGTCGCATAAGTACTTTTTGTGTCATTTCAGCCAGTTTGTTACCTAAACACGACTGCTAGATGTATTAACACCATCAGACATAAAATGTAAATTTTAATTAATGAAATGCCCATTGTCGTTTTCCGAACCTATTAACCAAGCATAGTTTCAAGAGAAAAGAAGAGCTCTGGGGGGAAATATATATATATATATATATATAAAAAAAAATTTCTTCACAAAAGTAAACTTACCAATGCTTCAACTTGTTCCTTGTGCCTCTGCTCAAAGCTGGCCTGGTCTACTTTACTCAGCTGTTCTGGGTGCAAACCAATCAGCTCAGGCTGCACCTTCTCTAGCAGAGCCTTGACCTCCCACTCCTGTCTCTGTTTAGAGCTGCGGAACGGGTTTGTATCAAGAGCATCAAAATTTGGTTCCCCTGCACCTGGAGTGACACAGAAAAAGCAGGGAATTTTCTCTCTTTTTTTATTCAGTTATAAGGGAACTGTGACCTGTAAATTTTTTTTGTGACATTCAACCCTGCAGCTCTGTAATATACTGAAAGAAACAGATAAAAAATGCACTACTTCTCATGGTGATGCACATTATTTGTGTTGTGTGTGCCAGTACGTACACTGCATTTTTTCTCTGCCAAATTGAAGGAATAAATTAAAGGAAACACAATACATAAATATGTCCTCTAGATGTAAATGTCTAGGGAGCAGACAATGGGTTGCATTAGCAACACTTCAAAGTTTGAAAATAACACTTCCAATATATCTCTTCATTACTTTAAAGATTTCAAGCAATTTTTTCGTAAAATGAATTAAAGACTTGAATAGCTCTGCTCACAAACACCAGAATATGGAAACAACTTTTAATGTACCTTGAATGAATGAATGATGCATTTATATAGCGCTTTATTGTGTATTGTTGTACACCCAAA